GGGGGTTTGTGAGGGGAGACCACCATGTTGAGCCCCAAAATTGGGTGCAGTCACCACCATTGGGAGCTTATCACTATGGGACACCACAAAAAACCTGGAAAGGGAGGAGAGGTGGGAGTCCTAGGCACCCAAATCATAGCCTTTGGGGGTCCTGGGCTCCCAAATCCCCTCTGAAAGGCCTGGGGGGCCTGGAGGTCTCTGGCACCCCAATTCCCCTCACAGCCCCTGGGGGTCCCAGCACCCAAATCTCCATGGGAGACCCCAAAAAAACCTGGAAAGGGCAGAGGAGGTGGGGGTCCCAGGCACCCAAATCATAGCCTTTGGAGGTTCTGGGCACGCAGATCCCCTCTGCAGCCCCTGGGAGTTCCAGCACCCAAATCCCCTCTGGGGGTCCCAGCACCCAAATCCCCTCTCCAGCCCCTGTGGGTCCCAGGTACCCAAATCCTCACCACAGACCCTGGGGGTCCCAGGCATCCAAATCCCCTTTGCAGCCTCCAGGGGTCCTGGGAACCCAAATCCCTTCTGAAGGGCCTAGGGGTCATGTGGGTCCCAGCACCCAAATCTCCACCACAGCCCCTGGGGGTCCCTGGCACCCAAATCTCCATGGGACACCCAAAAAACCTGGAAAGGGAGGAGGGGTGGAGGTCCCAGGCACCCAAATCATAGCCCTTAGGAGTCCCAGGCACCCAGATCCCTTCTGAAGGGTCTGTGGGTCCCAGCACCCAAATCCCCTCTGCAACCCCCAGGGGTCCCAGCACCCAAATCCCCACCACAGCCCTTAGGGGTCCTGGGCACCCAAATCTCCCCCACAAACCCTGGATGCCCCCTTTTTTTGAGTGCCACAGGTGACGGTGCGCGTGAAGGTGGAGGAGTTGGCCCCAGGGGATGCAGATGACCCCGAATCGGCGGGGGTCCCACCAAGCCCCCTGTCAGTGTCACCCCCACTCCCATCTGGGGACATCTGGCGGGAAGAGGTGGCCCAGGGCAAGGCGAAATTTGTCTCCAAGGACGAGGAGTATCATCTGCAGGACACAGGTAATGGGTGAAGGAAAGAGACCTTCTCCTTCCCTCAGAAAAGTGGGTGAAGAAGTTTGGCAGGGGCTTGGAGGTGGTGGGGTGTCTCCTGCCAATGGTTTTTGTCCTCCCGTGGGGTCATTGCTCTTTTTGGGAACAATTTTTTTGCTGTTGGTGGAGGATGAGTGAGAGCGAAGAAGGAGAAAGGGTCAAAAATGAGGTCCTGGTAATGGGAAAGTCCTTGGGGTGTTGACCTCAAGAAGGATCCAGTTGGAGACTCCAAAAGAGGTGCCACCACATGTGATCTTGAGCCCTGGGAGAAGAAAGGTCTCCTTGGGCTTGAATGCCAAACTGAAGTGAGAAGAAGGGCTGGGAGATGTATCCAGGATGTCCACACCAGTTGGCCACCTCTTGAGTTGTGGGGAAGGTGGAGAGCGATGGAGATCTTGGAGTGAAGACCATGAGTGTCCATCGAGTGGTCCTGGAGAGAGGTCTTTTTCTCTCCATTTGTCCTCTGGAAACCATGAGTCCCCAACATCTTCTCCATGGCAATGGTGGAAATGCCCCTTTGAGGAGTTTTTGGGTTTCAAGGATGGTGGTTGGGGCATTGTGGGCTCCTCTCTGAGTCCTCCTGCATCCATCCTTGCCCACCAGACCTCCACTGAGGTGTCCCCATCTTCATCCTTCGCCTGGTGGCCACCCGTGGATGGCTTTGGGCTTTCACTTGAGTGGACCATGTCTGACCATCAAGGGTGGTGGGGTCAGAGCAGGAGGGTGGTGTCCTCTATTGAGACCCAACTCATGAAGCATCTTCTCCTTCCTCCCCTACCAGGTCCCACCGTGGCAAGCAGAGACCCTGAGGTGTCCATTTTGCAAGCACAAGACCCCCCACACCCACCCTATGTCCCAACAGCTAAAAACCCTGCCCGGAGCGGGACCCACCGGCAACACATCCCACGGGATCCCACCACCTTCACCCCAGGTCCACCCGGACCAGCGGAGGACACCAAGAGCCTGGAGAAGCCAGGAAAGGAGCGCCCGTCCCCCTGCGGCGAATGCGGCAAAAGCTTCAGCCGCTTGACCCACCTGAAGACCCACCAGCGGACCCACACCGGGGTGAAGCCCTACGCCTGTGGGGCCTGCGGGAAGAGCTTTGGCCACCTCTCCACCCTCACCACCCACCAGCGGCTCCACACGGGGGAGCGGCCCTATGCCTGCGGGGCCTGCGCCAAGACCTTCACCAACCCCTCAGACCTCAACAAGCACCAGCGGTCGCACACCGGCGAGCGGCCCTACCCCTGCGCCGCCTGCGGCAAACGCTTCAGCCAGCAGTCCAACCTCACCATGCACCAGCGCTCGCACACCCAGGAGCGCCCCTACCCCTGCGGCGCCTGTGGGAAGAGCTTCAAGTACCTGGCAGACCTCACAGTCCACGAGCGGTCACACACGGGCGAGAGACCTTTCCCCTGTCCCCACTGCGGGAAGAGCTTCAGCAACAAGTCCTCCCTCGCCCGCCACACGCGGATCCATGCCCGGGCGGCCACCAGGGACAAGTGACAAAGATGGAGGGGTTTGGTGGTGGTGAGGAAGGATGAGGACAGTGGCACAGCTTCATTGAGGTGGTGATGGGGGAACCACCATGAGGGATGGTTGAGGTGGACTTGGGAGTTTGGTGGTTGTCCTGGTGGAGGAGGTGGTGATGGGTGACCACCATGGGGGATGGTTGAGGTGGACTTGGGGGCTTGGTGGTGGAGGGGAGGATGAGGACAGTGGCACCGCTTCATTGAGGTGGTGATGGGGGACCACTATGGGCAATGGTTGAGGTTGGATGGTTGAGGTGGACTTGGGGGTTTGGTGGTCGTCCCAGTGAAAGAGGTGGTGATAGGGGACCACCATGGGGGATGTCTGAGGTGGACCTGGTGGATGCCCCAGGTACTGGTTTCTTGCCGGATGGTGCCATGCTGGACTGGTTTGCTCAGAGGAGATGCAGCATGGATGGTGGGATGATCCTTGATGTTCCTCACAAGCCCAATGGCTGCAGGGCTTGGCTTCCTGGTCCTGGAGATGTCACATGGATGGTGGTGACAATGAGGTGATGATTGATGTCCCCTAAGAACCTGGTGGCTCCAGGATGCACTTTCTGGGCCCAGAGGAGACGTAACACGGATGGTGGGACAATGGGCTGGTGATCAATGTCCTCCGTGATCCTGGTGGCTCCAGCAGTGTCCCAAATGAGACATAACACAGATGGTGAGACGATGAGCTGATGATTGATGTCCTCCATGAGTCTGGTGGCCGCAGGATGATGTCCCAAAGGAGATGTAACATGGATGGGGATGAAGACGAACTGATGGTCCATGTCCCCTGTGATCCTGGTGGCTCCAGGACGGTGTCCCAGAGGAGATGCACCATGGATGGTGGGACGATGAGCTGACAGTTAATGTCCCCCATGATACTGGTGGCTCCCTGGTCCCTCACCCACCTCCTTTGGCCACCTCCGTCTCCACCCCCACCAGGACCCCCCATCTCCCCATCCCAAACTCACTGTATTTTCCCCCATTTCGGGTATTTATTCATGGCAATGACCTCATCATACCCCCCCCCCCCCCTTTTTTTTAATTTCGGAGACCAACCTACCTCAGCGGCCACTTTTCTGGGTGCCACAGAGGGGCTCAGGAAGCCCCTCCTGGCCGGGTCACCCCCAGATTTCCCCCCCCTTTTTTTTTTGCCATAATGACCATTTTTGCCACTTCTCGGTGCCGCTTTGTGGTTTTTACTCACGGCGTGCAGGGAGGGTCCGAGTGCGTTTGATGGGGGCGGTCGGGGCCAAAACGCATCCTGGTGGGATGCTGAGCAGCGCGGCCTGGGGGGTTGTGCTGTGCGTGAGGTTGCGGTTGTGCTACGGCTTTGCATGGAGACTGCACCACCAGATGTGCAATGCAGCCTTGCATCTGCAGTGCAGTGGAGCTCTTGCACTGGTTGCATTGCATTTGCATTGCAGCGTTGCATTTGCACGGCTGTGGAGTCCTTGCACTGCAGCACTGAATTTCCATTGCAGCATTGCATTCGCATTGCAGAGCTGCATTTGCACTGCAGCACCAGCTTGCGATGCAGCGGGGCATTTGCGTTGCAGAGTTGCTTTTGCAATGCGGTGGAGTCCTTGCACTGCAGCCGTGCATTTGCATTGCAGCCCCTGGGTCAGGCTGCAGCACTGCGTTCGCATTGCAGAGCTGCATTCCCATTGCAGAGTTGCATTCGCATTGCAGCGCTGCATTCACACTGCAGCGCTGCATTTCTATTGCAGAACAAACGTGCTGCAGCGTTGCATTTGCATCGCGACACCAGGCTTCAGCTGCAACCTTGCATTTGCATCACAACACCAGGCTTGAGCTGCAGCGTTGCATTCACATTACAGCATTGCATTTGCAGTGCTGTGGAGTTCTTGCCGTGCAACATTGCATTTGCATTGCAGCGGAGCCCTCGCACTGCACTGTTGCATTTCCCTTGGAGCATTGCATTTGCACTGCAGTGTTGCATTCCCACTGCAGCACTGCCCTGCAGCACCGCGGCTGCAGGACGCATGCGATGCAGGGCTCGCGCTGAGCGCATTGCACACCCCCACCACC